AATCTGGTTGAGTTGGAGAAGACAGGTGGTGCGTCTGTGCCTCCTCCACCATGCGCGAAATAGAAGCAGACCAGATACGTGTGGCCATGCGCTCCTCTGTCTGGGTCAATTATAAGCTTTGATGTGAGTATTATAACAACATCAATATTATATAGTATGTAGGCTATGATTATTAATATATGCAGACTATTGATTGGTACATAACATGGATGTATAAATTAAATATTCCAATCTCAGCTTGTTTATTGTCCAGTACAACGCTGTTGACTGCAGCAGTGTCTCTTTACATACTGCGTTTTTCTCACTTTCTTTAATGACATTTTTCAGCCTGCCAGATTGAACCAGCTGTTTAAATTGAACAGCTGTGACATCAGAGTTTCCATTTCCAGCTCAGAGAAGTTTCTCCCTTTCCATGTCGTAAACTCTAGGGAGTTTATTCTCTACACCGAGAAAATGGGGAGCGGGATATTTAATTAATCGTTGTTTTCAGCTGCAACATTTATCAACAACCGATCATTCCCACACTGTGATTGGAGAGATAAGAATGTTTCATGAATCACACGCAAATCCTATCATTAGATGATTTCTGTGCTCAGATCTGTGCTGGTTTGTACATTAGTTTGATATGTAAGGGTCACTGCGAAAGGGTCAGAGTTCTAAGACAAGAACATGGACCCCACCCAAAAACAAGTTCATGGTAATGCACGCAGTGCCGTGGATACGCATCACTACGCCGCTGTCCTGACTGACAGGTCCTGTAGTAGCACCTTGTCAATCATGAGGTAGCCACGACCCAATGCATCCCCTGCTTTATGGTCTGTTTGAATGGGACCATGATTTACAAAAGTACAACAGAAGAGTCTCTGACTAACAAGGGAGTGTTCGCTATTTTTATAGTATAGCAGAGTGCTTTCAACAAACAAGTCATTATGTTAACTCTTGCACTTCCTCATGTATCTTTCAGTCAAACACTGGTCTTGTCTGGAGCACCACATACTGACTAACAGGTGACCTATAGATGATCCCGAAAATAAGGAAATGAAATCAACATATAAAATGACATGTGGATTATCATGTCTCACAAATATCCTCTCTCCCAAACTACCAGAAGACAGTCACCATGAGGACACTACATACACACTGATACAAATTTAAAAAATTAAAAAATACGACAGCTCTTAAATCTGATAATAGCACACCTGTAATTTTAATCTTACAATTCTTGTTTCTTAGGTACACGACTCACTTCTTGCAAAGCAAACATATATTTTAAGCAACAGGTGCAGTTATCTGCTCAGTTATTCTGACCGTGATCTCCTTCATCATTTACTACTCCTCATCAACATTTTCTACATCCTCTTCCTCTTCCTCTTCCTCTCCCTCTCGTGTCAGTAGTCTTCATTATGAGTAGCATTCCAGCGTCCTGGCCCCAGGGTGGTAACTCCTCATTACATCGTTACTGCAGAGAGAAACACAGCTAATGTGACAGCAGCTATTGTTAGCGGAGCAACACGGGGCCGCTCAGTCCGCTAATGTTTCTGTTCCCTCAGTCACTTACCTGCTGTTCAGCTGAACTTTTAATGAGATCTAATCACACAGATGAGTTTGCAGACCATGTTTCTGTTTCAATCTGGTCACCAACAAACTATTTCACATTAACTGCTCAAACTGAAGAATAAATGAGTTTTCACCACATTCTTCACTTTATAGTTTTACAGAGATGAATTATAGGAAATCTAGTCACAAAGAATTCAAATGTGTTTCTTCTTTGTGTTATTGTTGAATTGTTAACTCACAAAAATATCAAAACTGTATTACACAACTGCAGAGATGAGTGAAAGCATGAATGATTTTGTGTAAATTAAATCATTATCCACACAACTGCCTTTTGTTCCAGTTAGTTAAACTTGGTTCTTGCAGATGTTTACCCGCTGTTTGATTGCTGCTGTCACAAAATGTCCCAGATTTTAATTATTTTAAATGCCTCTTGTTATCAACTTTAATAAAGTAAGCCAAAAAATGAAGGAAAAAATAACTGAATCAATCAGTCAAAATATTTTGACAAAAAGCAACAGACATCTAAATTCCCCTCAACAATCTGTTTTAGTTTAGAGAGCTTGTTTAAGTAATGAATCATTTACTTCTGCTGTATAATGTGAATCTTCTAGATTTGTTTTTATTTGTAGAAAAATTTCTAGTCAGTAAAATGTGTGAAAATAAGTAACAAAAGTGGCGTCATTGTGTATTTCACTGTGACTGTGTGTCTCTGGTGGCAGTCACAGTAAGAAGTAAGAGCACATTTTTTAAGATACAAAAATAACTCTTCCATTGTACAATGTGTCACTAATGCAGTTCTCCCATATCGGAAACTATGTTTGGTGCGTCTTTATTTATGTCTCACTGTTAACAAATCCATTATAAAGATGGACGTGTGTCTGAACATGATGACAGAGTGTTTAGTCTGAGGGACTGAAGAAAACTTTAAACACTTCCACTTGTCTGTCAGAGTGTTTCAGATACAGCTGAGTGATGATGTTGTAGTTTATGATGCCCTCTGTCAGTGTGTTAGAGATGCAACTTTATTACACACATGTTGTTAGCGGACATTTATTGGTTTTAATGACATTTATCAATCCAGCCTGAGAAAATTCAGCATGGTAGAGGTGTGAATTACCTTCTTCACTTCAGTTCAAAGATTTGTCATCAGACACATTCTCCCTCTTCTTCTTCCTCTTTGTCTTTGGAGTTTTAACGACAGCAGCCAGCATCTGTAATGTTGCATCGCTGCCACTAACCACATTCACTTCAGTATGTACATCAGTAAGTGAACGCATCACTGTTTAAATGCACTTCAGTCAAGTGGCAAGCTCCACAGCTGGAAAATGAAGCAAACACAAAGTGCCAAAATCTGCAGTTCCTCTATCAATCAGTCAATCAATTTTATTTATAAAGCCCAATATCACAAATCACAATTTGCCTCACAGGGCTTTACAGCATATGACATCCCTCTGTCCTTAGGACCCTCACAGTGGATAAGGAAAAACTCCCCAAAAAAAACCCTTTAACGGGGAAAAAACAGTAGAAACCTCAGGAAGAGCAACTGAGGAGGGATCCCTCTTCCAAGACGGACAGACGTGCAATAGATGTCGTACAGAACAGATCAACATAATAAATGAAGAGTAATCCATATGACACAATGAGACAGAGAGAGAGAGAGAGAGAGAGAGAGAGAGAGAGAGAGATGCAGGTAATGACAGTAGCTTACAACAACATTATTGAAAGTAATAATATTATAGTTATAGTTCTGGCTACTGTGGTACAATATGTTGAAAGTATGTATTAATATCTGGCAGTATACATGTGTGACAATAGTCATATGTGTATAATAACAGTAGAAGTATGACTAATGACTAATGATGGCAGCAGCAGCAGGAGGCATCTGGCAGGACCACGGCAGCAGCACAACCACACACGTCACGCTGTCCAGGCACCGCTGTGATATGAGTTAATCTGAGAGACAGTGGAGCACAAAGGCTCCGGAGAAGAAGCCGAGTTAGTGACATCCAGAATGGCCGAGTTAGCAAGATGCAGTAATAGAATACGAGAGAGAGAGAGAGAGAGAGAGAGAGAGAGAGAGAGAGAGAGAAGGAGAGAAGGTGCCCGGTGTATTATAGGGGGGTCCTCCGGCAGACTAGGCCTAAGTCAGCCTAACTAGGGGCTGGTACAGGGCAAGCCTGAGCCAGCCCTAACTATAAGCTTTATCAAAGAGGAAAGTCTTAAGTCTAGTCTTAAATGTGGAGACGGTGTCTGCCTCCCGGACCGTAACAGGAAGATGATTCCACAGGAGAGGAGCCTGATAGCTGAAGGCTCTGGCTCCTGATCTACTTTTGGAGACTTTAGGGACCACGAGTAACCCTGCGTTCTCAGAGCGCAGTGTTCTGGTGGGATAATATGGCACTATGAGCTCTCTAAGATATGACGGAGCTTGACCATTTAGAGCTTTATAAGTTAACAGTAGGATTTTAAATTCAATTCTGGATTTTACAGGGAGCCAGTGCAGAGAAGCTAAAACAGGAGAAATATGATCTCGTTTCTTAGTTCCTGTTAGTACACGTGCTGCTGCATTCTGAATTAGCTGGAGAGTTTTTAAGGACTTACTAGAGCTACCTGATAATAGAGAGTTACAGTAATCCAGCCTTGAGGTAACAAAAGCGTGGACCAATTTTTCTGCATCTTTTCGGGTCAGGATAGGCCTAATTTTCGCAATATTACGCAGATGAAAAAATGCAGTCCGTGAGGTTTGTTTTAAATGAGAATTAAAAGACAAATCTTGATCAAATATTACTCCGAGGTTTCTTACGGTAGTGCTAGAGGCCAGAGCAATGCCATCTAGAGAAACTATGTCATCAGATAAAGAGTCTCTGAGTTGTTTGGGGCCAAGAACAATAACTTCATTTTTGTCTGAATTTAACATCAGGAAATGGCCACTTGAGGCTGGCACCAGGAGCGAGTCAGCAGAGCAGGTTTAGTATAACTTACCTGTTAAAATGTTATGAAGGCCTAAAGTTACACATAATTAAGGGCAGGGCTGCTTAGGCTGTCTGTGAGGTGTCACCACAGTCTGTGAGTCATATCCAACATTCGCTCCTCCACAGCTCCACCCTCTTATCTAAATATGGTCAATTCTGGCTCCAAAAATCCCTAAGACGGTGACAGCCAAAACCCAAGGCTTCAAAACTGGAATCCATAAACTAATTGGTGACATCATGGTAGCTACGTTCATTATTTTATATAGTTCTACGACTTCAGTGTGTACATCAGAAAGTGAGCACATCACTCAGTTCACTTTAAAGAGATTGTATTAAAGATTAATTTGTATAGGAACCTCAATTATTCAATTAACTTTTCAGTTAAAACCACCCATAGAATACCTCTCAATTGAGCAGCTGAAGTTAATGCTAATCCTAACCCTAACCCATTAATGCTCCTTGTCCAATCAGTAGACTGAACCTGGGGCTTCAAGGCTGTCAGTTACTGGGAACAACGAGGGAACCAGGAAGAGAAGCTCACGCAGACCAGAGTGTCACCATCCTGCACGCCAAGGTCGCTCAGAAGTCCTACGGCAATGAGAAAAGGTTTGATGATGATTCTGAGCAACTTTTCAGACAGTTAGCTGAATAAACATGCAACACACTAAAAATACACTCATCACATCCAGTCCTTACAAGAGGAGAGAGGTAGGGGAGGGTGGAGGAAGTAGAAGTATTGATGGTGCAGTAAAGTGTTTCATGCTGTCAGAGTTTTCCTTCTACCTGATGTGTTTGGATGAATAGCACTGCTGCTTTAATGTCTGTGTCATTTTACCACTGTAGATGTTTAAGGTTGTGCTCATTTTTAACTCCTTTATATCCTGTTGGGTAGTTAAATCTACAGCAATGCATCATGGCCTATAAGATCATCATATGTATGTAGCGTGGCTGTCCTGGGAGAGCCTCATATCTCTAAAAGGTCAGAAAAACAGCTTGTTTTCAGCTTTGTGACGCCGACTTTTCCAGCTGATCCCAGACAGTTTTTAAAGAGTTTATTTAGTTTCAGAAGGAGGAGACATTTCTCAACACTTAAAGGAACACTTCATCCTTCAGTTTATCACAAACATTCAACATCAGCACATCTAGAGATACGTGGTTATCACTGGACGGGAAGGAGCTGTCAGACAAATGTAGTGTAGTAAAAAGGACAGTATTTACCTCTGAGATGTGTAGAAGTAAAAAGCTGCATAAAATAGAAATACTGAAGTTAAAGTACAAGTACCTCAAATTTGTACTTGATTACAGAACACCACTGGAGGTACAGGCTGATATACAGTATTAATGTAGAGCCTATAATGTGTTTTATAAATGTGGTACAGTTGAGATTTGTGTGCATTTCAGGTATTTTCATAAGTTACCTGTAGTGAACAGTTTTAGTGCCAAAACATAACTTATTTAATTACATATAAAAATGTTTGCACTACGCAGCTCGTGTTCATGTTCAATAGTATGTTTGATTCAGTAGTTTAAGCCTGAACTGTTGTATGACCCACAGGTTCTTCTGCCCTCCTCCCTGTGTTTACATCAGTGGTCACGGATGGAGAGTCATGCAGGACCATCTGAAAGGTGAAGAAATTAAAATATAATCAATGTCAGAGGAAAATGTTGAATACAGCTCTTTGAATCTGAGTCCAAAACGCTCTTCCTTCCTTCCTTCCTCTGTTCCTCACTGCGTTTCTCGCTCTTCATCCTTCCAATGTTATTTCTCCTCTCCTCCAGCTGCTGGCTATGGAGACTCTGTGTATCGAGTGTGTGGTTACATGTGTCTGGACAGTTCCAGTCAGTCTCAGGCCGACACATTCAAACTGGTCTTCGATGAGCAGCCAAACTCCAGGGTGAGAGCACCGTGTGTGTGTGTGTGTGTGTGTGTGTGTGTGTGTGTGTGTGTGAGAGAGAGAGAGAGAGAGAGAGAGAGAGAGAGTGAGAGAGAGATTTATCTGATGTAATGCCATGTGCATACCTGTCTGCTGTGTTTGACTGTTTCTGTCCACACCGTCTCCGCCCGTCTGTCAAATTCCTTCAGTGACAGACACCAATTTTCTGGCAGTTTAAACTGGCCCGGATCAATTATCCCTTAAATTCCTCTTGAAACAGCAGAAGTTCTGCTGTATCCATCTTCCTTCTTCCTCCTCGGCAGTGGATCAGATCAATATTTATTGGGTTGTAGATTTGTAGAATTTATAGTTTTATTATTTTCACACATTATCAGTATAAACCAATAGTACTGTGAAGTGTTTTCCTGTGAAAAAAAATAATTTAAGGAGAAATTCAGTGTTGGAGTCCTCTGTCGGCAAACAGCCACAAACGATCTGAGACCAGATGCATAAAAATCTGTATTAATTCGTGACTAAAACTGTGTGTATGAACTAATGCAGAAATATGCATACGCATTCTTTTTGGCAGATTTATAAAGCTGTGCAGACACCTGATTGTGTTTTGAATCACTGCTGGGCACATGGACATGCGTCTCATTTCCACCCCCACAGTTCATCATAAATGGATGTAGAAACACCATTTAACATCTGTTTGCATGTCGATACTTGTGCCCCTCACCACTCATTAGAACTGTCAGTGAGAAATACAACAAAGGACGTGCAGTTTTCCTGACTGTGTCACATCGATGAGGTTCTCCAGTGGTGCCAGAGCACGCGTCATTATGCACTGCTGTGGATGTTTGTAGTGTCAGTGCCACTAATTCATTACGTTACACCACTATTCTGGTTAAGTCCTAATCATTATTAATATTATTATTATTATTAAACATCAACAAGATTATGATTCATTCATGGTGCTCATGTTGAAACTGACTTTACAAAATGCTTCACAGTATAAAATCAAACAATCACTAACAGGGAGATCAGTGTTAAAAAAAGATGATAAATTGAATCACTCATAAATAATAAATAATTACAAATTAACTTTATAAATGTGCCTTCGATTGACACTTTACAGAACGCCATGTAAGCTGCAAAAATAATAACACAATCAGTGAAATTGGCAAACAACCTCAAAACAATGTTGTTCATCTCTTAACTTACATTTAATCTCCTTCTCATCATCTCACCTGCAGCTGTCTCAGCTAAAACCATGTGTACGCCTGCTCTGAAGAATATGTGAGGTGCGCCCATTCTTCCTTTATAAATACCAGTTATGTGTGAGGAAAGGCGTACATGTGGTTTTTGTGTGTACACATTGTTTATGCATCTGTCCCCTGGGGTCCAACACTGTCCACCATTTACCCTTCACTGGAGTGAATGACTAATGGTGTCAGTATACTTCAAACAAAGTGAAAACCTGTTGTCTGAAACCACCTCCCTCCACAGCTCTCTTTTTAAAAATTTCAAACTATTAATTACCGTTACTTTTCATGCGTTTAAATAGTGGAAAACTGTCTGATAATGTGCTCTGTTATCCCATCTACAACTTTGACTAACAATAGACATAACGTAGACACAATTAAAAAGAAATACAAGTCATTTTGTACGTCCCTACATATTGCACGCCCCCTTTCTGTGAGTTCACATAACCTTCTTCCATCCTTATGTTGCACGTCACCTTACTGCATCTTGTTAAGTTTGTTTTTTGCCAGAGGAATAAATGGCTTTTTAGTCAATTACTGTCTCGCTCTTCTCTACGATATCAGACTTTTCACCCTGACTTTAAGTGCAGCCATCCATGTTTACTTTTTTTTTCAGACAACACATCGTACATCCTTGTTTATTTCAAACATACCCAAGTCTCCATCACTCCAACGATGTGTGGCAATGTGCACACGATAGAAGGACACTAAATGATTGAAACATGATCAGTGACAGAAAGTGACAATGGGGTTGTTTCCAGCGTCCTCTGTTTCAGAGACAGTTTTAAGGCTGCGACACACATCATGACTGTTTCTAAAAATCATGGACATGATCTGGACGTGACAACTGATCAGACTAAATTGGTACAGGTCCAGGTACATGTTTAATATTTGTGTACAGTCCTTTTGGCCTTTACTGCACATAAAGACTGCAAATTACTGCTGGTGTTGCAACAGTTTGCGTTCTTGCGGAATTTGCGGCAGCCAGAGCTCCAGTGGTTCGATGTGTTGTCTCATGTACTTACTCATCATACGATTTATGCTCCTTTGTAACTGACTGTCTGTCAAATATTCTTAAAAACTCTGTGTAAGTTGGTAGAAACAGACTTTCTGTGTAGTTTGTCCACTCTGAATAGGTTTCAGCTAATCTTCAGGTTTGTCTCGAGTGCTAGATTAACTTGAGACCGAAAAGTTATGCTTCTAAAGCGATACTGTAATGCTTAACATTTGACTCATGTTGATCAGTCAAACTGCTGCTGTCGATGAGCAATGGGAAACTGCACCTGACCTCAGACCTGCAGTGTGCTGTGTCTGAGTGACAGACAGCTCTGTGTCTGCTCACCCAGACGAGACAATCACCTCTTTTATTACAGAGCACTGTTGACTCAACAAACAGTCATGTCGAACTGTAAAACTACGCCACTGTAAACACTCTGTGTGTGTTCTCCGGCCTCTTCCTCATTTACTGGCTGAGGGACAACACAAGACACAGAGATCCTACATCTGTGTTACTGTACAGCAGAGGTGGGACCAAGTCATTGTTTTGCAAGTCACAAGTAAGTCTCAAGTCTCTGCTCTCATGTACCAAGTCAAGTCCCAGATCAAAACAGGCAAGTCCCAAGTCCTAAACTTTGAGTTTCAAGTCCTGAACAAGTCATAATGTGCTCTTTACCAAATGTAATGGCTTTTTAATAGCAGAGCAAGTAAGTGTAAAATTATTATTATTATTAATAAAAAGTTTGTTATGAAAAGTGTAACTGAACTTAATAATTTAAAAAAGACATGGCACTCTCATAAGATATAGCACTATTAACCACAGCAGAATGAATCATGTATGTTTCTGTCCCGTCTTGTTTTATTTTACCCATCTTATATTGGAGAAATGTTTATTACTTTCTCTTCCTGTACTCTTCCTTTAAAGCGATAATTTATGCCGTTCCATGTTTTGTGTTTAATTGTCTAAAGGAATTAAAAAGATAAATGTTTGTAGGTTTAGGAAATGAATGAATGTGTTGCGCACCTTTTTAATAACATACTTTTTCATCTTTGGGTTTGAGGGGAGGTGTCAGGTGTTCTGAAGTCAAAAGGCTCAAGTCCAAGTGAGGTCACAAGTCATTGGTGTTTAAGTCCAAGTCAAGTTGCAAATATTTTTTGATTTTGTCAAGTTGAGTCTAAAGTCATTAAATATGTGATTTGAGTCCAACTTGAGTACAAGTCTGCTGTATAATCTCTTCATCTGCACAACATCCCAAAGACTCTTCATCTTCTGATCGTGGCTTTGATATTAGAAAACATCTAAGGCTTCGTCTCCTCAGTGTTTTAATAAAGTTTGGTATGATGGAAGTTTTCCAGACACATCCTGCTCTCCTTCATTCACTCACTCATTCACTCATTCACTCACTGTGTTTCTCCATCAGATGTTTGCCTGTGCCAAGTCGCTGTTCATCTCTGATCAGGACAAGAGGAAACATTTCTGTCTGCTGCTGCGACTCTTTTTGGGCAACAGACAGGAAGTGGGTTCGTTCCAGAGCAGGATGATCAAAGTCATCTCCAAACCGTCTCAGAAGAGACAGTCGATGAAGAACGCCGACCGTGAGTCACGTTTCTGTGTATTTTCAATCAGGCAAATGATTGATTTAACACCTGCTTATCAAGGAATAGTCTAACCTTTTGGAAAAATATACTTTTAGTTTATTCTAATATACACATTTTTATATACTTTTTAATCCTGTTGACGAGTGTTTTGTAACATGTGAATCAACTTTTTTTTCTGTCTTTTCTTATGTGTATAACTTTCACTAGTTATTTCTAACATCTCATGACCTCATAGATTGCTCCCAGGTTTGGCTGAGTGTTGTGTTGTATGACTTCCTGTACTTGTTGGGTCACTGCAGACCCCAGGGTCAGTCTTATTCAGTCATTTAAAACCTGCGCACACACACACACACACACACACACACACACAGTCAGTCACAGTAACCTGAGCGATCTGACGGCACCTGATCTGCTTTCTCATCTCTCAGCTCAGAGTGACATCTCCTTTTAGTGCTTGTGTTTGTACTTGTACATCTATCTTTGTAAGAACAAGTTCAGGTTTAGACTTTGGAGGAGAGGACATTGTTGGAAAGTGAGGACATTTTTGGCAATCCTCAGTGCGGAACAGACTTAAAAGGGCTCTCTGAAGGTTCAGACTTGGTTTTAAGATTCAGGTTAGATAAGCTGAGGGTGAGAGCTGGGGTTAGACAGTCATGGTGGTTAAGGTCAGTTTAAGGAGCAAGGGAATGCATTATGTTAATGAGAGTCCTCACAAGTATAGAAAGACAAATGGTGTGTGTGTGTGTGTGTGTGTGTGTGTGTGTGTGTGTGTGTGTGTGTCCAACAGGTCGCAAATGATGCATCAACCAATAAAATGCACATTCCTGCAGGCAGACAGGGACTGAGCCCTGTGTTGTACAGTGTGTGTTTCTCTGTGTGTGTCAGTGTACGTTTTATCTTTACAGCATTTCTCTCTTTCTGTGTGTGTATGTGTGTGTTTTCAGTGTGTATTTCGTCGTGCTCCAGAGTAGCTTTGTTCAACCGTTTACGCTCACAAACGGTCAGCACACGTTACCTCTCAGTGGACAGAGGAGCCTTCATCGCCAGCGCCAGACAGTGGACAGCCTTCACCATCACCCTGGGTATGTGTGTGTGTGTGTGTTTGTGTGTGTGTGTGCATGTCTGTGTGTGTCACCACTTGTGTGATACCAATACTGTAAAGGTCATGAAGTGTCTCTAGTAGTAAAGCTACTAGCTCTGCTTCAACACATGTACCCACACAGTGACTCTCTCATATGTGCTTGTTGTGACAGTCAAAGCTCCACCAGACTTCCTGAGACAGATGCATAAACAAAAATCATGTGTACATCTTTTCCCACACATAAACTGGTATTAATAAAAGGAGAGTGTGCGCACCTCACGCATTCTTCACAGCAGGCGTACACACAGTTCTTAACTGAGATTGCTGCAGGTGATGTGATAAGAAGGAAATTAAATATAAGCTGAGAGACGAATGACATTGTTTTAAGATTTTTTGCCAATTTCTTTGATTGTTTTATTATTTTTGCAGCTTATATGGCGTTCTGTAAAATGTCAATCAAAATGTGCATTCTTCAAGTTAATTTTAAATAATTTATAAGTGATTAAACTTATCATTATTTTAATTTACATTCATCTCCGTCAGTCATGGTTTAATGTGATCCTGTGAAGCCCTTTGTAAAGTCTGTTTTAACACGAGCGCTGTGAATAAATCATTGTCCTTTCTTCTACTCTTTAATAATCATAATGATTAGGCGCGACAAATATCAACGGCCATGTGTAATGACAGCTGCTCTGGCACCTTTGGAGAACCTCAGTGATGTGATGCAGTCAGTGAAACTGCACTTTCTTTGCTGCATTTCACATCGACAGGTCTAATGAATGGTGGAGGGCCACAAGTATCAATATGCAAACAGATGTCAAATGGTCTCTCATTCAAAAGCACTGTCAGTCCTTATAACTTGGTGCAGGTGATGGCAGGAAACATCAGACTGATGTTAAACAAACATCTACTTATTAACTATCAGTATGTTAAAGGGTGTTTCTACGTCCATTTAAGGCAAACTGTGGGTTTGGAAATGAGGCTCATGAACTTTCGCCCAGTGCCATAATGATCAATATTTATAAAACAGAATCAGGCACATGCACAGCTTTATAAATCCAATGAAAAGAATACAGATGAATATTTCTGTATTTGTGCGTACACATAGTTTTAGTTGTGACTCTACACAGTGTTTATGCATCTGGCCTCCTGTCTTTACAGCAGAGATACAGAGAGTCTGACAGCCAGTTACCTCGAGGGCCAGCTCTTTGTGTCATTCATACCAGAGGGTCAGCCAGTGTCCCCTGACCCTCCACGTTACACTACATAGCCACAAATTATTATTATATTTATATATACTGTGTGTAATTATTGAAATTGTTAGTGTTTGTGTCGACCTGCTCAGGGACCGCTGACTAAAAACAGCTCGTAATGCATCTCTCTCTCAGGTTCCTGACAAATAAATGTAATAAACTAAACTAAAGCTAAGATACCAATACTGATTAAACAGTAACTATGCCCACAAATCCTGCTAAAACCCTCACATCCAGCATATATAAAAATGCAACAGAGGAGTGACGACTGTAGGAGCTGTGGTATCATTTAAAGATTTTTAGTTTGTATAAACATACACAAAATAAAAACAGCCATAAGTTACAAAAGTAAAAGTCTCTAAACCATTTTATCCTAATCATTGATTATAAACCTTGTGACAGACTGACACCCTGTGCAGGCTGTACCTCACCTCACTTCACCTCACCTCACCTCTTGCCCAGCGCATGTAGGGATAGACTTCAGCTCTTCACAACCCCGAAACAAGTGAAGCTGCCAAGAAAATTAATAGATGGGTGGATAGATACGAGACAGTTTCAGACATGTTTGGGCTTTTCTTTGCATTCCTTCAGTTGGAGTCACTCCACGCTACAACTGTAAACATGGTGGATACTTTCTAAGATCCATACATCTGTGGGGTTACATCAGGAGTCTTTGACAAAGACACTGAAACAGTGATAAACACTGGCGTTAAAGTAGTTACTTTCCAGTCACTAGACGGCGTCTTTCACCACCCGGCCACCAGGCATAAATACAGTCAGTGTGTGAGCAGCGTTTCCCTGAAACACGTCTGGAAAAGTCTAAAGATCTGTGAGGTTATTTATTTAACACAGTTAAACCCAGTGTGCACAGACCTCCCACCACCAAAACCTAAACCTCAATCATTCATCTGTCTGCAGTCCCTCCTCTCTACTATCACCACACACACACACACACACACACACACACACACACGCAATTTGCATTTGTCTTTATCCATCTGTTGGTAGAAATGTAGGCCATACTAGGAAAGAAATGTGTTTTTTTAATGAGGAAAGATTTAATAACTGTAATGTGTGTGTGTGTGTGTTTCCATGGGAGTATGTCCATGAATGTGTTTGAATATTCATGTGTAGTTTTGTGTGTGTGTGTGTGTGTGTGTGTGTAGTGGAGGACCAGCGTGCTGACCAAGGGGACTTTGTGCTGAGCGAAGGCTTCATCTGTTACGGCTATGTGGTCCAGTTAGTGTGCACCGAGTCTGGAGTAGCTCTGCCACCCATGGTAAAACACACACACACACACACACACACACACACACACACACACAAAAGATTGCAGACTTTTCTGTTGTATAACACAATAAGACCCCAGGTGTCTATAAAAGCAACAGCTGGATGCTTCTCCTCAGTTTTTCATTTATGTGCAAAACAAAGTCACATAAAAGGATCAGATGTACCACCAAGTTAAAATCACCCTGAAAGTTCAGCAGTGATAAAATGTCCTCACAACCACTGGATTTCCTTCGTAGCTCAGTTCAGGAAATTAAAATAATAACAGTGAGGAATTTTTAAAATCCTGCTGATTCACTGAGAATGTGTTTAAATCTCCATGTCTCTAAGTGTACAACCTGCTGTGGTGTCCTTAAAGGGGAACACGACCTAAATTAAGAAATCCAAGCTGTTATGTCCTAGGAAAGAAAAGTTCAATCAATATTTGTGAACATGAGCTACTCTCTCTCAAAGCCAGAAACCAGAGTCTCAAACTCTGATTTTGTTGACCTACAAAATGTTTTTTTTTATTTTTTATACCTAAATGAGCTTTGTTCTATTGTAGAGCTCTCAGCTCTGAAACAGAAAATGTCTCTATATAAGTTAAGTTAAGTTTAAGTTTATTCACTTTATTAATCCCCCTGAGGCGAAATTCAATGTTTTCACTCTTGCTTGTCAATTACACACAGGTCTGAAAGACACATACATGCACAAACAGGACCTATACAGAACACTCTCAGAACACTTTCCTGGCTGCTCTTAGTTTCATCTGTAACATCTTTTACCATTCATTGTCTGTGGAGCAGCCCCAGACTTAATACCCCATGACATCACAAATATAAATTTTAGCTCTCTGTATTTTGGATTTGGGAGAGAGTTGTTCATGTTAACTAATATTTTTGGTCTGTCTCAGACCATAGGAACAACGTGTGAATTTGTTTCTTTACCCAAGACACTAAATTCCCACCACCTCAAAGTGCCACTGTTATTTAGAAAAGGATTAATCATTGTTGGGTTTTAGTCCTTTTTTGAAAAGAAATCCTGTGATGTTGTTTCAACCAGCAGGAAATATCTCACTCTCTTAAACTAGTTTGTTTGTGTCGAGCACAAGGGGTAATCTGCTGGTGTGAAAACTGAAGCTAACGTCGAAGTGCCTGAAACCTGCATTGTTTATAATGGCCAGCAGGGGGTGACCACACTGGCTGTGATAGTCTGATAGCTTAGGAGCCTGTGAGAAAATGACCCGACTTCTCTCTTGATGTAAACATTGTTTAAATGAGTTAATAGTCTTATTTGCTACTTTCAAGACTTCTTTAATACAGCATGATGTTCATTCTGTGAATTACTGTCCTGTTTAAAGTAAAATAAATGATACAGCAGGGTGTGTTTTAGGGTGTGGCTACCTTGTGATGGACAAGTCACTACCATTGTGTTGTCCTGAAAGCCACTCAGAGGGCTTGTCTGCTCATTTTCTCCAGTAAGTAGATTTTGTTTTGTGCTGCGTTGCATTTACCTTTGGATGTCTGAAATCGGAGCTGACCTGAGTTGACCGTGTGTTCCAGTGCAACAACTCCGCAATACCAGTTCTAGCTAGGTTAGCCATTGTTAGCAATACTCGTTGATAACAATGCATTACGCTGTATTTTGTGCACACAAACACTGTAGCAACATGTCCACAGATGGAAGTTGGACAGGACTGTGTGTTTGACTGATTTATTGAGACACAAATAAGACAGAAATGCTAATAACCAGTATATTACTGCAGCTTTCACTACTGTTGATGGGCGAGGCAGCTATCTTGGATTTTAGGTCAGGTTTGTTGAGGTTTCTCTGACTCTCCCAGTCTGATATCTGACTTCAGGGGGAGTTCCAGTTCACATTTCTGCCTGGGAATTTGTAAATTCCAACTTTTCCAATGCAAATGGAACGCACCTGTTTTTTCCAGCCCAAATCAGCATACCAAATATCACGTTAATTACGGACGCACCTTGCTAGCCAAGCTAGGCCCAACCTCTTGTCCATATATGGTCACTTCTGGTTGCATAAAAAAACAAGATGGCGACGGCCAATTGCCAAACATGAGGATTCAAAACATGGATGTATAAAGAGAACTAAATACAGCATTGGAGGCAGTACCCTGTTTCTCAGGGGCTCATGAAGCCAAAAAAGTTAATCTACTATAAAATTACCTAAATGATTGGCACTGCTTCCCCACTGTGCGGCCCATAGAACCTGCATGCTAGAGACTTCCATTGTCTGAGCAGGCTACTTACAGTTTAGCCCTCTGATAACTTGAATGGGGATAAAAATGATTCAGTCGTTTGTTTCAGACTTTCCGAATTTTATCGGATCAATCAGATCAAATCCAATCATTTCAGGAGGGTTGTGATGCTCAAAAAAAATGTATCCATTGATTTGCAGATGTCTCTTTTGCCATTAAGTTAATGCAGTAAAAGTCTTTTTTGGCCGCAAGGCATCATGTTACAGTGTAATTACACTGTTTGGCCACTATGAAAATTGGTTTCAAAGCTTGGCACATTACCTGGATGCCTGCTCAAAAATGGAAGTAAACAAACCTACTGGTGACTACATCCACTTCTTTTATAAAGTCTATGTTAGAGCAGCACAGATGCACACTCAGTTGACCATTCTGCCAAAAAGTAATGAAAGTTGTTGTGGCATCAAAACAAGCCCTGTGTGACTGTTTGTATAACCACAGGAAAGTGAAAAAAGATGTCTGTCTCGTGCGATTATCCAACATTTCAACCACAAAGTTTAGGTATAATCACTCTGAGTCTATATGTCTTACAGATGTGAGTTTGTGCAAGTGTTACATAACCCGATAATCCCATAAATGCTGTTATTGTTGAGCCCGACCTCCACTTTAAGTTAAACTTAGACAAACCTCTTAGCAGAATCCTTCACAATCCGCTGAGCAGACTCTTTCTCCTCCTAAACTGCTGTCATAACAACCTCAGCTGCTGCCTGCCGGTGGATGGTGAAGGTATATCTACACATTGCACCTTGATATGTTTTTGTAGTTGAGGCCTTTTGCTGCACAGTTTGTTTGAAGATAGAGAAATGTTTCCTGCTGAGTCGTTTTGCGTGACGAGCTACTCGGCTCTGTTGTTTGGTTGTGGTCAGCGTTCAGGACCTGAAGAGGTGAAGGGAGACGAATAGACCGAAATGTTCAGCTGGATCAGCAGCTCTGAAAAGACTTAAATGTAAGGGTTTTATCATCTGCGTGCGGTGCAGTAAAGGGTGTGTTTGAATGTGTTAATACTTAGGACTGGGGGCTCAAGGTCTGCAGATACCAGAAGTAGTTCATTGTGCAGACCACCTGGTTTTTATTTAGAGTACACACCTTTTTAATATCCCATCACTGAACCGTCCGCTGGCTGTGTCAGCTTCCTGAAGGCAGCTGTGTGATGTTCTAATTTAAAACTCTCTTTGTACTCTACATTTATAAAGTAAACTAGTTTTGTTGTTTTTGGGACCTTTTGTGATTGTATGTAACTCCTGGATGTTTTGACCCAACTATTGATCTTAAACACCGTCTCTTCCTCTTGATGTTACGTTTGCAGCTCTGTTAACAGAGAAAACGATAACACTCAATTACATTTATGTTATCTTTGTTTTTAAGCTCTGTTATTGCCCTCATGAGGCTGCGGAGTTAGGTTATGCTACGGATTCAGTCAGGAACGTGACCGAAAGTATGCAGTGTATTTCATTCCTAATTAGGGTTACATAGGGTCGGCAAATTTCTGGACATGAAGGTTCAGTGTGAAGGATTTAGGGGGATATACTGGCAGAGGTGGAACGTAATACAATAAGTATGTTTTATTTAGTGTATAATCACCTGAAAAAGGATCCTTGTGTTTTTGTTACCTCAGAATGAGACGTTTGTATCTACATAGGGAGCAGATCCTCGTCTACAGAGATCACCATGTCACCACCATGTTTCTAGGATAGCCCAGAATGGACACACCAAACACTGGCTCTACATAGCGACACTAGTGTTTTTAGGTTGGCCACCATAGTTAGAAGCCCATCTGTGACGAGCTGCGTTGGAAGAATACTTGATTTTTTACGTGAAACTGCTTTATTCAGTGTTTTTACTGGTTTAAATCATCTGGTCTGTTTGTTTCAGAGAGGGAGCGACCTCTGTGAAAAATTCAGCTCCTGGTAAAAACCTCCTGAACAATGATCACTGAAGGAATTCTAACTAGGAGAAGTTTAAGCAGTCTGCAGTCCTCACTATGAGAATCCACTCAATCCCCCAAAATCTGACACAATGACTCATTGTTTCAATATAAAAATCATTCATATTAAGAGTGAACTTATTTCGGGGAGTAAAACACATACAGTATATGGAGGCCAGGGAGTAAAATTATTTGGGTAAGTCTTTTATTTTAGAGGGAGGTCATAGGGATGGTTTACGTTATTATTCAATAAAAGCTCTTACCTTTGAAAGCAAATAATGGTCTGTAGGTCCCACACTTTGGTCCAGACTGAATTGCCATGAACTTTTGTAAAGACTCATGTTTCCCTCAGGATGACTTGTAATAACTTTGGTGATCCTCTTTTTTCATCTAGTGTCATCATCAGGTCAAAAGTTTTAATTTGTCCAATTAAAATTACATCTCCACCGTCCTCAGATGGACTCTGGGTTCAATGCTAAATAAAAAATGTTAGCATACTAAATTAGGATAATGGTAAACCTTCCTACATCAGCATGTTACATTTAGCTCAAAGTACAGACTCACAGAGCTGCTAGCATGGCAGCAGACTCTCAGTCTTGTCAAGATGAGTTTATGTTTTACGAGACACTGATATTCTTGTCAGTGTGTTATGATGCAAGTCCTATAATAAATACACTGTGAGAAATGCATATGTTCTGCCCCTTTTCCTGACTGTGTATCTGTGACAAATCTAAGAGCTCCTGGTATCATGACAGAAAATATCATCTTGATTATTCAAAGGAAATCATATTTTCAGTTCTGAAAAGATTCCTGAGATATTAGATCATGCTTATTGGCTTATTTTTCCCCTCGTCTTGTTCTTGTCTCCAGGTTATTCGTAAAGTCAACAAGCAGCACGCCATCTTAGACGTGGATGAGCCGGTCTCTCAGCTTCACAAGTGTGCCTTCCAGTTCAGAGACAATCCACACACATACCTGTGTTTATCCAATGACGCCATCATACAGTACCAGGTGAGACCCCCTCAGCCCCCACACTTTCTGTTCCCCCTCTCACTCTTCTTCCTCTGTTCTTCCTTTTCAAACATCTTCATCTTCTCCTTCCTTCAGGCACCGTCCAATGTCAGAGACCCAAGCAGGGCGGTGCTGAACGACGGCTCCTGTTGGACCATCATCGGAGTGGAAGCAGTGGAATTCACCTTTAATCAGGGTCCTGCCTGCATCCAGACACCAGTCACTCCTTTCCCTGTTATCACTGGGTTAGAGGTGAGTTTGGCAGGAAGACAGGTACTGACACATGCACACATGCCGGGGGAATTAAAAGGTCAGTCGGTTTGGTTCACCCCAACTCAGTCAGAAAAGCTGCTGAGGACGAACTGTTTTCTCCAGGAATGTTTTAAACAAAGATACTTTTCATTTAGGCTCCATGAGGAGAATACAGGCAGAAAACAGTGTTTATTTATTGATTTATTGATTCATTTATTCATTGACTAGCCTCCTAGTGAAAACCTCCTCCACAGCATTGAAGAAACACTGATTTGTATGATGTTTTACTTGTTGTAATCACCAGGGGTCTCATTTCTAAAACAATGCTCAGGATCCATACAAAAAATGGATGTATGGAAAAAGCCAAAAATTGCATGCGCCAAAAAATATTTTTCAATTTCTACAGTCAGGCTTCCAGCTCACCATCTTCATCACCAATTTCTACACTACAAAATATTGATAAGCATGGGTCAAAGTCTGTTAATTACAGATCACGACTTTTGCGTGGAAAGTGACATACACCTCTTTCAAGCCTCATTTTGTGCGTACACACTGTTTATAAATGCGACACCTGGTCCCTGGAGAGGAAGCAACCTCTGCTCCTGTTAAAACTTCCTGAACGATGAGCACTGAAGGAATTCTAACCTGGAGAAGTTTTAGCTGGCTATTATCTGCAGTCTTTACCGCTAGATGCCACGAAATCCCCCTAAGTCTTACATACTGCTCCTTTAACAGGGTTACAAAGTGCTACATAGAAAAATATTAGTATAGAAAAAACTCAAAACAACAATGAAATATCAATGATGAAATAGAGACTATATAATTGACGATACAGACTGCTATACTATACAGACAGGTGAACCAGCTGGAAACACGACTGCTACAGGTCATAAAGATGATGATGGTTTTGCATTTTTCAGACATGTAACTACAAATCATGGTTGTGTTTGCTCCCTTATTATTTGAGTGTTTGTCAAATAATTCAGGATTGGGTCATTAGCATTAATGTCAACCATTTTCCAAAACAAAATATGTTTCTGGATTTATTTCCTACCTCACAGCAGCCATAAGTTTTTTTATTACCTCAGTACAAAAATCAACCTGCAAAGACTTGAAAATCACCTGACGTAGAGCAGATCATCCATCAGCATCATCATTTTGTAACCTGTACCAATATGTGGTGATGTGAGCAGTTGAAGATAAAACAAACGTGTGTGTGTGCGTCTGTGTGTGTGCAGGTGAATGGTGGAGGACACGTCGCCATGTTGGAGATCAACGGAGAAAACTTCAGCCCTCATCTCAAAGTCTGGTTTGGAAACTGTGAGGCTGAGACGATGTTTAAGTGAGTTAACAGGAGATACAAAAACAGCATGTGAGAGGAGAAGAGGAAATTTATTAAAGTCAACAGACAGTCAGAAGTGCGGACAGGTAGGATGCAGAGAAGAGGGAAGAACAGAAGTGATCAGATAAAAGACAGGATGAGGACTGATCAGTGAAAGGGATGAAGAGAAGAATAGAATAATCTAGAGGAGATGAAGGGGAAATACTATTTCAGTGAGACAAAACATTTGGCATTTTCAGAACTGTTAGAAGCTTTCAGGTGCCATACAGCAGATATAAAGCTCATCAAACAGACCCTGATGGGATTCATTGTTAACTGTATGTGTGTTACTGGTTTTTCATCAGTGTGCACGACTTCTCCTGAACACACTGACCCAGAAACCAGAAAGGAGGGAAGAAATATAAACACAGATCCATTAACAAGCGTACAGTATTACCTGCAGACGCACGTACCAACAGTTGTCATTATACTTTTACTGGCCGCCTGCTCTGTTGTCTGGTTGTCTTTAATAGCTTCTGGAAAGTCGGGAGGCCACATGGGAAAAATACTTTGTTTCAGACAGTGAAACATATTGTTTATATCTTGCTCCAGATCTGACAGAATGAACGCTGCCTCAGGCAAATAAAATACATGTTTTAAAACATAATATTATTTTGATTAAAAAAAGACTTTTACTGGTGAAACCATGGAAATATTTTGAGAGTAGAGCGGACATTGAACTAATTGCTGTTGTTACCAGACAATTACAAAAGAAAGTGATAATTGTTGTTAGTTGTTGTTATGACGACATCACACGTCAGTGGGGCTGTAAAGTTCGTCACACACAGTTTTTACCTATTCTTATTATCCTATTTCCCTTATTAAACAGAAAAATACCACTGTTCACCAGTCCAAGTTTCTCTCTTCCACTAAACGAACACTAACGTCAGCTTGATTGCCTTATTAACTCATCGTAAAACACACTTCATTCAAACTCAACAGCAACCGAATAAAACTCACCAAAACTGTCTTTCTTTGTCCAACAACAGGGGTGGACGGGCCATCTGGCATCCTGAAACTCTCCCTCTGCCTTTCAGCTGTTCCCCTAACTGCAGCTCTCACTTACTCCTCAGAGGCAGCTACAGTAAAGTTACATCATAATTTAGCAAACATGCAGTCAATGGCAACAACAGAATAACAGTTACAGTAATATTTTGAAATCAAGGGATTGCTAAAGGCCCAGACACACCAAACCAACATCAAAGAACCAGTGGTGACATAAGTTAACTGTTGTACATGTGACGTCATCTGTGTCTCAGCCAAAAAATTGCACATGAATACACTGCAAAGACTACAGCTTATGGCCAACCAGCACATATGTTCTGTGCCTGCGTGAGAGGAAATAACTCTCCACACCAGCAGACGGTGGTAGTCTGTGATCGCCAAAAAGGGAAATCAGAGGACTGTCTTGATGCTAGGTAGCCGGTTAGTACATTAACAACACAATCCAACGTTGAAAGAACAGAGCATATTTACTGTGCGCCAGTGAACAATAACATAAATCATTAGGAAACATTTCTACTGAAGAGCTCAGTGGCTTAAGAAACACAAGTTTGTTTCAGTCTCACTCCCTCTTGATTTTAGCTCTTTGTTTACTATCCTCACTTCCGTTTCTCCTCTTGTCCGCTGAGCTGAACTGACAATCAGATCATTCACCAACATGCTTCGCTGTCTGCAACGCTGATTCAACATGCTGAATTGGCGTGGGAAAAAGCTAGGGTGACAGACGCTCACCAACAGCTTGACATTGACTGACAGCTAACTGTCGGCTTGGTGTGCCAGGACCTAAACTGTCAGCAAAGTTGGTCTCTGGCAGTCATGGAAAAAGTACTTAGATCTTCAAGTAAAAGTACCAACACAGCAAGTAAAAGTCCTGTGGTTAAAAAGGGGAGCACTACCTATCTTAATATTTCCCATGTTATTTCCATGGCCTAGGAAAGTTCAATCAGTACTTGTCCAGTGTTTCCCAACCCTGGGTCGGGTCCCTCCAAAGGGTTATCACATAAATCTGAGGTGTCGTGAGTTATCTGTGTAAGCTCTGGTACATAAATCTATTTTCAGTTTTCAACTATATATCAAATTTGAGCTTTTCTGTGAAATATTGGAGAGTTTTACTCCTCTGGGTCTCAAACAATTATATGAATGAAACATTAGCTGTTTTTCCATAAACACATTTTTTGCACGTTTTGAAGTAGAAAGGCTGAATGGAAATTAAATTACGCTTCTCTAAAGGTGTCATAGAAACACCTTTGCCGAAAAAGTTCTGATGTAGCAAACATGAACTCGTCTGACTGATCAGCTGTTTCTATTGCATTAGAATCATTACATAATTCTGTTCAATTTGCCCAACTGCAACCACTTCCTGGAGTGTGTTCCTTTTTCTCTCATAGTTGGTTACATGGGCAAGGCAGCTTGTTTTGTTTTTGTCCACAAGCTTTACTTCTTGTACTCTGTTTACTGGTAGAATACGTGAAGTGTAGCCTGGACCGACTGACCTGACCAAACCATGCTTTTTGTAGCCTCGTTAATTCGCTCCAAAACAGCTGATTAAAACGCATCTAATTCGCTTTTCTTTTGTTTTTTTGGGTGACATCTCTAAAAAGGTCTCTTCTTCAAAAAAATTTAAATCAGTAAAAACATTAAATAAATCAAAAATCAGTGTTTTTAGGTGCTCTCCTCACCGAGGAGCTGCTAACTATGGAGGCTGACACAAAAACATGAATGGCCCTATTTATGGCCAGTGTTTGGTTTGTCCTTCTGGGCTACTGTAGAAGCATAGCGGTGCAACATGGTGATCTCTGTAGATGAGGACCCTCCCTATGTAACTATAAACGGCTCATTCTACTGCTGTGTTCACACTACGAGTGAGACAGCAACAGACCACAATTCATTTTTAATGGAAGCCAGTCATGACACCACAAACTGATGCCAGACACTTGTCGCTGAGGACGTGACAAGCAGTTAATGAAATCTGAGCTAGCTTGTGCTGTTTTCAGCACTCCAGTGATGCCGTGAGGTGTCAACCAATCACGTGGTTTGTTTATGGCTGTGGTACTGTGTTTTTTAGTTTGGTTAGCTGACACTGAGCTAACTCTGTGTATTGTGGTGCATATGGAGACACAAGGGGGTGGCAAAATGTGATGTTGAAAAAGGGCTCAGACACTGATCATAAGCAGATACTTTATGTCCTAATACACACTTTAGATGACTTTCAGTGGAGGTGCTTTGTGTCAGGTAGCAGACACACATGTGCCCATAACGACGGTACTATGTTAACAAGTGCCTGAAAATACATAAACGTCACCTTGGTGATAATTTAGCTAGGCAAACTGTTGCTGTGTCACTTGTAGTGTGAACACATCATAAGGTAACAAAAACACAACAGTTTTTTTTAATGTTATTATACACTAAAGAAAAAACATACTTATTTTATTACTTTTCTGTTAATTATCCCCCTAAATCCTACACACTGGACCTTCAGATATAAAATAAGATACTTAAAGTAGATCGACCTTGAAATACTACTTGAGTTATGTAAGGTGATCGTGTAAAACGTTTCTGTGTAGGTGAATTTTTGCTTTAACAATCAGTCTAGGAGGCCCTGTTTCTTTTATTTATGACCGTTTTGTGACATTTGCTCTCATGCTGCTTCACCACAGAGACACCAGGTGTAGAGCCGAGCTGCAGCACAAAGGGCAAATTAAAGTTTTAGTCTTGTTTCAGTACGACTGCTCAGCTCTGTGAAGCTGGCTGCCCATAAAAGTTGGTTTTATGGCATATTAAGTGGCACTTCCGCACCAAATGTTATGTAACCAAGCAAATTATATTTCATTTGACCCAGAATTTGAAAGCAGTCATTTTGAAGTTTGTTGAGGAATTTCCATGAAGAACAACATGTCTGTCCTGCTGAAGAAGGTGACTTGTCCAATAAGTTTGATGTATCACTAATCTGCAGAAGAAACACATGTTTAGGTATTTCTTGTGCAGATTAGTTATAATACAATACAATATGTCACAATACAATATATTATTGTTGTCCCAGCTGAACAACAACTATCCACTAGGACAGAAACATTTTTGTTACTTTATTGTTCAGTGTGTGTCTGGTATCATTCTGGTTCCCCACACTCAGTTTCAAAGGTCTTTGCGTTCATGTGGGTCTATGACCAGCAGTTTGATTAGTGGAGTTAACAGTTGACCAGTCAATGCAATCAGATCAACAGACAAGATGAGCAGTGCAAGGAACGATTAAGGTTGACTTTCACTGCACCCTATGTTCTACTGCTCTGTCTGTGCCCAGATACCATATATTTCATTTGATTCATCCATACAAAACCCAAAGTGTGAAAACAAACATGCTAGCTTTTTCCATATGGTCCCAGTCATTATGCTAAGCTAAGCTAACAGGCTCCTGGCTGCAGCTTCAAAGCACATTTCCCAAAATGTTAAACTACCTCTTTCAATGGATTACGACTGAAAGTAATTATTATTTTCATTATCCATTAATCTGTCACATATTTTCTTGATCAGCTGATCAGAAATTGTGATGAAATAGTGAAACACGTCTTTCCTAGTTTGTAGCGTTTGATTCTGTTTTAAGGAGTTTTGTTGTGGCTTTGTTAAGAAAAAGAATCTTGTTTGTTAAGACTCAGTGAGGATAGAAGGCGGGCAGTTTCCCAACAAGTTTGACTAAAAATAATCTTGACAGTCATGACATTCAATGTACTGAACTTTCCTACTGAACTTACCTGAATTCATCCGTTTAAAGAGTGTGAGCCAAGCTTTGACCCGAGAGGCATAAAGGGCCTTATGTTATATTCAACATCAGTGGAGGAACTCAGCTCAGCTTTCAGGGAACAATCATCTCTCTAACTCTTGTGCAGGAGAAGTTACAGAAGGCCGCAGCAGAAACCTGACATTCAGTGCATCTCCTCGCAGAATCTCATGTGACGCATCCCAAATCAAAACAACCTCTCTGACGTCAGAGTCCACCTCAGACCCACAACTGAAGTGCTGAGGCATCGTAAGTCAGGGTCTCTGGCTGAGAGCGGCTCGCCACCGGCTTCTGCAAATATTCCTCCCATCAGCAGCAGCTCGGCAGCGAAGAAGAAAGCCGTATTTATATAACACAGTCATCCACAATGTGCTGTTTGTACGAGAAGCTGCAGCCAATTAGGAACATGATCTCTCACTGCCATGCAAGCCAGAGGTGTAGTGTAGGCTTCAGTGAAGTACATGTATGTATAAAAGGGCATTTGAAGTTTCTGCTGCTCGCTAGTGTTTCATATCAACCACAGAATTATGTTTAATCTTTGTCTGTCCATAGTTCATTTATCAGTGTATTCACTGGTGTTGTTGTTGCTCAGTTTATAAAAAGAAAATCCTGCTGCAAAAACAACAAAATAATATCAGAAAGTTTTTGTTTTCTTGGATTTTTTTTTTTGTAAGGATTGAAACCAGGCTGGTTATTTATTCATATCAGCTTTTTTTCAAAATCCTGCAGCTGCAGTAAAATGAAAGGATTAACACAGCAGAAACAGTGTGTATGCATGTATGTACAGTATGTTTCAGTGTCTGTAAGAGTGGATTATTAATGATTGTGCATTGCTTGTGATTTTTCCCAAGAATGTGGGACTCAACACCCAGTTTGTAAAACGGCAAACCGTAAACTCTCTTGAGCTGCAGAGTCAGAAGATAATTTGGTTCATCAGAATTAGAAACTCCTCTCACATACAAGAAGTCACGTGATCCATTGTTTATATAAAATATTGATTAGAGCAGAATTTACTTGATTTGGAACATTTGTTGATCTACCGTTAACTCAGGTTTTAAGGTATTAATAGGAGATAATTTAACAGAAGGACTGTGATGGATTCCAGTTTAACCTTTACTTGGTCCAGTCTGGGTCCATCCGCTTTCCATCAGCACATTTTATTACAGAAGTCTTCTTGTTTTTTCCTCTCAGGTCTCCCAAATCTCTCCTCTGTGTCGTTCCTGATGTCTCCGTGTTCAGTGACGGCTGGCGCTGTCTGCGCCGCATCATCACCGTCCCTCTGTCTCTCATCCGATTGGATGGCCTGATCTATCGCACGTCCTTCAGTTTCACCTACACCCCTGAGCTCCAGCCACCGCCATCCGTCCGAGGAGCAGCGGGAGGAGGGAAGAGAGAGGGAGGCGTGGACGGAGACCAGCAGGACGACATCCTGTTAGAGACCATCCATCAGGAGTTCACCAGAGCCAACTTCCACCTCTTCATGCAGAGTTAGACTCCCTGTCTGTCACCTGGAGACAGAGGTGGAGTCTTCAGGTGAATGTTTGGAGCAAAGTCTGGTTATCTTAAAGAAACTGATTTTTACCGTTGTGGATCAGTGCTGCTCTTGAGTCAAAGAACTGTGTGTAAATTCTGGACCACAATCTTCCCTCTTTGTCTTCTTAATAGTTCATGTTCATTGGATTAAAATATTCTGTGGATATGATGGAAAATCAGATTAAAAAACTAATTGTGAATTGTGCAGACTGGAAAAAATAGTTATTTGTCCACGATAGTAAACAAGGTGTCAAAATTCAGTCCAGATCACACCAGTTCCTCCAGATTGAGAAAAGGTGAAGGTACAGAATCAGGCTGCACTGTTTGTACATTTTCCTACAAAAAGTAATGTACCCAAATTTGTGCATAAACCACATAGTTTGGAAGGCTTTGTTCACTGAGAAATGCGCTGACAGGAGTAAACAAAAAGTGGTCCTGAGCAGTCCATAAGGAGGCAGATTGTGGTGGTGGAATTGTCACAAAACACAGGACGTCCCCAGGGACTCTCCCCAGGGACTCTCCCCAGGGACTCTCCCCAGGAGACCGATGTTTGGAAAGATGTGAACTTTGTGTCATTTTAAGGTACGTAGTCCCCATGTTTCTTTTCCTAAACCAAACCACAGCTTTACATTAGTTATGTAACTTATAGTTAAGGATGTAACGTTATTCATGGGGCGCCAATTTGTAGGATATCATATGAACCGTTTTATGTGGATATGTTGACAGAATAGCTGACAGCAAGAAATAGGCAACAGCACAGACGATTCAATCAAACGAGAGCAACTTGTTTTGTTTATCACAAAAGAGAGAGGAGCATTTCTCTCTCTCTCTCTCTCTCTCTCTCTCTCTCTCTCTCTCTCCCACAGTCTGTAGTTCGAGCAACAGCAGCGAAAATCCGCTGAATGACATAAAATGCTTTTTGCTGGCAAATGAGCAGGGAGATCTGAGTGCTGGCAAGATGGAGGGAAGTCTACCACGGTTTATTTACACACACTATCCACGTTATTACGATACAAAGCTTGCTTTTACTTGTAGTGTTTACAGTGTGCTGTCAGTAGTTTTACTTGTGAAGTGAAGTGAAGTGAAGTGAAGGATCTGAATACTTCTTCCACCACTGATCTGTTGTCATCCATAAGAACTTGTGTGTAAATCCAATCCACACTACAGTTCAGAAGTACAAATTTGCCTTTGTGAATATTAACGCTGTAACAATGAGGCCTGAGTAACACTGTCCTGATACAGAGACGTTTATACGATGTGTTCAGAGGTGATAAAAGAGCCCAGAGTGGGAAAAAAATGAACTGTGAGTGCCTGAAAGATTTAAACAGAGAGCTATAGAGAGTTACAGTGTGACGGACAGACTGACTGCCGCAAGCAGGGGGAAGTTTTTTCTGGAGATTGAACACGCGAGCTGAAGGTCGAGGGTTGTGAGAGAAAGCAGCCGTGAAACTCTGTCTGCTTCCCATCTGATCCTCTGAGAAGCTTTCAACTCAGTATTCTGTGAAAGGATGGAAGTTAAAGTGTAATCTGAGTGTGTGTGTGTGTGTGTGTGTGTGTGTGTGTGTGTGGGTGGGTGGGTGGGTGTGTGAATGGCACTTTGTTGTTAAACTGTAACTGTAATAATTCACTTGGGTTGAGCAGTGAAACAGCAGCACGAGTTTCTCCCAGAAGATCTTTCAATCACTGAAACGTCAGAACTTTGGTGAGTGACAGAAGGGACTCAGGACATTTACAGTTCAGTTTAGTTTAGGCAAAATGTTTTTACAAAAATAACAAAAAACTAGTGCCATTGAGAAAACACAACACACCTTTCAAGAAATAGAATAAAACAGGCCTGTTTGATGTTTAAAATATCAAATATTGTGAAAAGTATTATGTAATGTTACTCCTCATAACGGTTACATTTAATGCATTTTATCTGTTTAGAGTCAGTTTTTATTCTATGTTTTCTTTGATATTAATAAAACCATGTTTGGAAACTTTAAGCGTGTCATGCTGAAAAGGCTTCAGGCAATTATGTTCAGTTTACAGTCAGTAACTCCGTCAGTGTGAAGGGTGGCGTTGAGTGCGGTGTCCAGCTTCTTGGCATTGGGGCTACTTCACCAGACTGGAGCACAGTACTCAGCGTCTGAAAACTTGGGCTGTATACATGCCCAAAGAATGCTATTAAAACACATATAATACTAACATATCCCACATGTCTTAATTGGAAAATGCTAATTTGTAAAAAGCCTAATTCAGAAAACCCAAACAGAATATGCTGTTTACATGAACTGCATCAAATTCCAAATATTGTCTTATTATAATAATGTGGATGCCAGTTTAACATCATCTACTGTATAATAGTAACTCATCCATTTTCATGACTGCCCTGTCCCCTTGAATAACTCCCATATCTGTCATAAACAGCTTTGCTTCTTGAATACATTTTGACTTAATGTGACACCTCTGTTTCTGCTCTGATGACAAGTCGTTAACATTTGCATTTTTAATATGTTGTAATTATTTTGAGTGTTCAAACACTGACACCGCTGCATTTACTCTGCTTGTATCTGCTGATTCCTGACAGCAGTATTTGAAGCACCACAGTGTAAAACTCTTCTTTTTACTCTTTGGTAACATTTTTGTGAATGAAACTGAGTGAATGAAACCCACAAACAGAACACAAGAAGTAGCTTAATTAACACAGTGAATTACCATTCACTGCAGGTGTGTTCCCAGCAAGCAATAGTCGTGATTTAAACGTATTGGCTATATTTAGCACCGATTTAGTCTAGCTACATGTAACCCATATCTAGCCGATTTAATTTTTAAATTGATTAAATGTAATTTTCGCCATTGCAGATGGCGTGCAGTATGATATTCAATCACATATGAAGAGTCAACAGTAATTAAAATATGTTTATCTCCATTTTTTTGACATGATCTCTACATAGCCGTATAATTGATGACGTCTACAATTTGGCTATGGTTAGACGTCTACCAAATTTTCACTGACAGCCCAAATTCAGCCGTGATTTAGCCTAGACGTCAGGTCTTCATGTAGACGGCTATTAGACGTTTTTTAAACCAAAAAATGCTTGCTGGGTTAATTATACTGATGATCAGATCTCATTAACACACACCTGCTCGTGAACAGGTGATGTTCATCAGGCCGAAACGAGAGATTTGAAAACAAGTCTGTGCAGTTAAGAGAGTTTGGTGAATCTGACTTGAAACATTCCTACATGCAAAAAAGTGAGAGATAAAAGACAAAAATGTAAAATCCTCTTGCAGGAGGCCCAGTATATTTCAGTAGTTCATCATCAGTTCAGGAAGCTGAGAGGACGTGTGTCAGAGTCAAAGCTTCCACAGTAAAATGCTGCTCAAGCTTTGCTTTGCTCTCCCCAAAAAACCTGATTTGACCTTTTTGTTTCAGGAATAATGGGTTTCATTGTTTTCTGTTTTCTGTTGCCTGTGATCTTCTGCTGTACTACAGATTTGATACACAGCAGACTGCAGAGCAGAGCGATGACAGAAATCCTTTCGGCTCACGTCCAACACGTCCGTGCCAGCCTCACATTTTGTCCCTTAAAGCCCTCATCCTTATTATGTTAATCCAATTAATTAAAGTGTCTGGTAGCAGCGAAAACTCAACAAACTCACAAAGCCGACATCAGCCGACTCTCGTCTTTGTTCCTACTGTACGTTTGATCTCTTGAAGTTAAGTTTTGAGTTATTAAGTTTGTGTAGTTCTTTTGTTCCAAACAAGTGAAGCAGGAGATAATCACACAGGCATGCCAGGACCTCCCACGTGGCCGCGTTGCTCTACAGTAAACCCAAAATTCATTCTCTTTTCATCCGTCGCATACTTTTCATTCTTAACATGGCTGCTTCTCATCAGCTCAGACAGAACCTGAGGAAGTCCTTCATTCATTTTAGATTACATTCACAGAAAACAGTCATCTCGTGGTGTATGAGTGAGTGAGTGAGTGAGTGAGACTTTATCTCAGTTGATGTAGGGACGATGCATCAGTACAAGACTTTCTGTCGTCATGACTGTGCTTACATTGAATTCTCTCTGTAGATTTAATCACATCGTAGAGACGTTATCTGAATGCAAACTGAGAGCTCGCTCCAGCTGTTCCTGAAGAGCAGCAGGCAGGTATGAATGTTTTGACCTGAGATGAACTCAGCAACAATACTGTACTCAGTGTGTGTGTGTGTGTGTGTGTGTGTGTGTGTGTGTGTGTACCTCTCTCTTTTTGAGAACCAATTTGAGTTTTCATTTGAGTCAGACCTTTGAAGCAGTTCGATGGTTCAGACTTGGCTTTAAGGTTCGGTTTAGAATTAGGTTTAGGTTAGAGTAAAGGCCATTGCACACCAAGTCTGTATTTTTCGTCTGGAATTGTTGGACGTTAACATAAATTCGATCTCATGTTGTGTCAGTCACGTTTGCACACTTTCTCGCATCTGGCAAAAGCCTTTGGAGAGTGTTTGATTACAAAAAGCATTAAAAAAATGTGGCGTAACCTGCAGGACACATACATCTGCAACAAGAGAAAAGAATGGGGCACACAGTATCATTTCATAACTCAGATAACCTACTTTCAAAAGGTCAGATAGTAATATTCAGATGATGAGGAGGATTTATTAGAGGATGAAGACCTCACACAGACAGGGAGAGAGACAGTGTGGAGACAGTGAGGGAGGACAGCTCAGCCCCAACAGGTAGCCGCAGTGCCAAGTGCAAGACAGAAAGTGTCGACAGACAGGGAGGTACTTCCATCAGAGAGAAGCAAGAGCGCACGTTTGTCTTCACCTGTACAGTGGATTTTTACAACAAATAAAACGCATCAGACTCAGTGTGCAAGGGTTTCTGTGCATAACATTTGTTGGATGACAGATTTTTTAAAAAGCAAACAAAAGATATGGACTTAGTGTGCAAACACCTTAAGGGTTTCAGGCATTTAGTCATGATGGTTATACTAAGATTATCTTAGAGTGGAGATTAGATTAGAGCCAGAATTTTGATAAACAACATGGAAGCATGGATCCATCCTGCCTTGTATCAACGCTTCAGGCTGCTGCTGGTGGTGTAATGGTGTGGGGGAGATTTTCTTAGTACCAACTGAGCATGGTTTAAACACCACAGCCTACCTGAGTATTGTTGCTGAGCGTGTCCATCCCTTTATGACCACAGTGTACCCATCTTCTGATG